TCGAGTCAGATACAAAGCTTATTCGCCGCTCTTCCTCTCGACGACGTTTGCGATTTCGTACGGCCTCTCGTTCGCCTCTATCACGGCGACCATCACGCACGCGTTCCTCTTCTTCCGCAAGCAGATCTGGACTCAAGCCCGGCGGGCGATGCACGAGCAGCCCGACATCCACGCCCGTCTCATGGCCGTCTACCCCCAGGTCCCCGAGTGGTGGTACGCCATCATCTTCTTGGCCATGTTCGTCTTCGGCGTCAGTGAGTGTATTCACTACGACGGGCAGTCTCTCCACTGCTAACCTGCCTGTGTCCGCAGTCTCCATCGAGGTGTGGAACACCCAGTTCCCTGTGCAGTACTTCATCCTCGCGCTCGTAATCTCTTTCGTCTATGTTATTCCCATCGGCATGATTCAGGCGATTACGAACCAGCAGGTCGGGTTGAATGTCATCACGGAGTTGATCATTGGGTGCGTACAAGGTGAAGCTCACGAGTCGAGGTTAGACTAATGTCTCGGTAGGTACGCGCTGCCAGGACATCCTGTTGCGATGATGATGTTCAAGACCTGGGGGTACATCACCATGGCCCAGGCTCTCACCTTCACGAGCGACTTCAAGCTTGGACATTATATGAAAGTTCCGCCGAGACAAATGTTTTTGTCCCAGGTGGTTGCGACGGTAATTGGGGGAACGGTCCAGCTTGGTGTCCAGGTACGTGTTTGGTTTGGGCTTGTTTCTTTTGCAGGCGTTGACGGTTGTCAAAAAAGGCGTGGATGTTCACGAATGTGAAGGGTATGTGTGACTTGGACCAACCCGATGGCTTTTGGTGTCCGAGTACACAGGTATTCGGTACTGCTTCTATCGTCTGGGGCGTTATCGGCCCTCAAAGACAGTGTATGTGTCCCTCCCGCTCGAATACCTCAATGCTGATTGACCACAGTCTCGCACGGCCAAATCTACTACGCCCTAACGTTCTTCTTCCTCATCGGCTTCCTCTGCCCGCTCATCGCATGGCTCTGCACCCTTCGCTGGCCCAACTCGTTCATCCGCTACGTCAACTTCCCGGTCATCTTCTCGGGCACCGGCCTCATCCCGCCCGCGAATAGCAACAACTACGTTCCATGGGCGATTGTTGGCTTCATCTTCCAATATGTTATCCGTCGCCGTCATTTCGCCTGGTGGACAAAGTACAACTGTGCGTCCTTCTTGGCCTCTTCCCTTATTTTCCCTTTTCGGCACATACTGAGAAACCTACAGACGTCCTGTCCGCTGCACTCGACTCGGGCGTTGCCGTTTCCGCCGTCGTCATCTTCTTCTGCTTGCAGTATCCCAGGAACGGGACGATTGGGCAGAACTCGTTACTGACGTGGTGGGGGAACACGGTGTGGCAGAAGACCGCGGATGGGAAGAAGACACCCTTGATCAGTCTTGCGCAAGGAGAGAAGTTTGGCCCGACGAGCTGGTAGTTTTTGTGTGTGTGGGCGCACGCGCGTTGTGTACGATATCTTATTGGGGGAGGTTTGAATCTGACTGTGTATTTCTTGATACATGCCCGTGAATCCTCGAGTTCCAGTCATGTAGTTACGGATGTACGCTGGCGCATCACTGAGGCGAGCGCGGGGGGAGAGTATTACAATTGAGCGGAGGGAGAGTGTGTCTTCCAAGAACCTTCGCTGCATTATTGAAGTCAGCAATGTCCGAGTCGTCTGTAGTAGGTGGATTATTACGCGGTGCTCTGAATGCCCTCCCGGCACAGTTTGACCCATGCTGGGCGAGACGTGACAGCGTTCCACCATCTTGCAACGTTGGGACGGCTGTGACTCTTCATGATGTCAACCCTAGTGAGTGTGGCGAGGTGGAACAGGTCTACGAGCGTTATTTCCTAACGAGCGTTGAATCGCGTTAAGCAAAGACTCGGAGTTTAGATGCATACGTTTCCCGCGAGGTAATCCTGCTTCGAAAGAATGTTCTCGTATACATCCAGCCTCTCTCCGAGCTGAGCAAGCATACTCTCCACCGTTTGGTCGGCCGGAAGAAGCGTCCGTCTGGGCTTTTCAGTCCATTGTGCCTCGCGAAGAGCAGCACTTACAACTTGATCACAATCTCCTGTTGAAGAATCCTCCCGATAGGATAAAAGTTGGCGAATTCCACCGACGCGGCTTGTTCGAACAGAGCGCGCTCTTGGAGGCTCGGTCCCGGGAGTAGTTTGGGTCCCTTCTGTGGATATTTCTCGACCAGATATCGACAAATCGCCCGCATCTCATAGAGGACGAAGCCGTCGTCGTCCTACATGATACGTTAGCAGTAGTCCGTTGTATAAGTAACGCCTCACAATGACCGGAAGCTGTCCAAACGGTTGTTTTGCGCGATACTCCGGGCTTTTGTGTTCCCCCTTGGGCATGTTGACGGGGATATTCTGGAATGGGATCTGTTTTTTCGGCGAGCACCAGCGCTACGACACCGCCTCCGCCCATCGTTCCGAGTGCAGGCGCAGAGTAAAGCTTCAAGACCATGGTACAGGGAAGCGGGGATTCTGGCGTTTCGCCTTTATACTCGGGTTTAGATAAGCCGAAAAGGCCCCTAATAAGTCTATTTTTTTTTTGCTTCTAGACCCGTCGAAGCAGCGCGGCGCACGCGCGTTGTGATCGCGCACGTCTTGCTTCTGACCAAAGTCATCGCCTGGCTAGCGACAACTCATCAAATCTACACTGGCAACTCTGGGTGCTCCTGGATTAATTCACCTTGGACTTCCTTGTCACGGAGTTTTGGTAGGCGAGCCTCGCGCGGGTCATTTACTAGCACCTTGCATGAACATTCCTCGGCACCAATGCGACATATGCAATTGAGGACATTTGACAGTGGGATGGAACGGTAACCACTTGTTCGCCACCGACAAGAGTCTACCTGCCGTCATTGCAGGTTGAACGTTGAACGTTGAACCCGGAGTTCGGACACATCTAGGACACACCGTGACAAAAGAAGCATGAGGAGTCAACTTGAACTTCAAATTCTCAACCTATCAGCGCCCACCCATCCAGCGGAGGAAAACGGATATCCTGCCGAGAATCAAACCCGTAATCTCCGCCTTTGACTGGAGAAGAAAGTGGCTGGTGGGGTCGTACCCTTGAACCACCGGACTTGAAGCTACCACATAAGGGCTGGCGGAGACAACACATGTACAGCTGTTGGACGTGTTGCGAAATAGGCTGAGAAATATTGCCTGACCCAGCTCTCTCCTAGTCCACGAGCATGCACAGTTTCGAGTTCGGCTAGGATCTGACACGCACACGTGACTGAAACACAATCATGAACACCGCGGTCCATGGCGCGACTCGGAGCGAGACATGAAACCCGGGAAGTTCGAGCCCATCGTACGTGTTACTGGTACACGGGGATCGAGGACATACAGACGCCCCTCCATTAAACAAGTCCAACGGCGCCACTGCATCAAGTGGCCAGTTCGGATTGTGGCACGTCTCAGTCAAATGAGATCGCCGCGTGGACATTTTTTTGTAAGTAGCAGATCTTCTTCGCCTCACTGTCTGTGATTTTGTGCAAGCTGCGAGCTAAAGTTACGAGAGGCTTGCTTCGCTCGTTGAGGGGTCATTGTATTGGCAGTTCTGCCTGAGGCCTGAGAAGTCGATTGGAATGTGTATACTACGCAGTGCTCTGGATCCCCTCCTCGCGCAATTTGACCCATGTTGGGCGAGACGTGATATCCTTCCACCATCTCGCAACGTTTGGGCGACTGTCGCTCGTCATGATGATATCTAGACTACTGAGCGAAGAATGAAACAAGTCTACGAGGGTTATTTCCTAGCGAGCGTTGAGTTGCGTCAAGTAAGGAGTTCACGCGCATACGTTGCCTGCGAGGTATTTCTGCTTTGATAGAATTTGCTCATATTCATCCAGCATCCGTGCGAGCGGGACGAGCACATTTTCCCCTATCGTCGGCAGACCAGGTGGAAGACCGCTGCGCCTGTGTCGTTTCAGTCCCACTGGCAGCGTTCATTTGAAAGGCAGCACTCACATCCTCTTTCCAATCTCCGCCCGGAGAATGTTCACAATACTGGGAAAGTTGGTTGACTCGACGGACGCGGCTTGTTCAAACAGAGCGCGCTCTTGGAAGCTCGCGGTCGGTCCCGGGAGTAGTTTGGGTCCGTTTTCAGGATATTTCTCGACCAGATATCGACAAATTGCGCGCGTCTCATAGAGCACGAAGCCGTCGTCGTCCTGCATGATACATTAGCGGTTGTCCTTGCAAAATGACTTGTAACGCCTCACAATGACCGGAATCTCTCCAAACGGGTGTCTTGCGCGATGCTCCGGGCTTTTCTGCTCCCTCTTGAACATGTCGACGGGGATATTCTGGAATGGGATCTGCTTCTCGGCGAGCACCAGCGCGACGACACCGCATCCGCCCCTCGTTCCCAGTGCAGGCGCAGAGTAAAGCTTCAAGACCATGATACAGGGAAGCGGGGATGAAGGCGTTGCGCCTTTATATTCGGTTTAGGTATGCCGCAAAGGCCCCTAAGTCTATTTTTTTTTTTTGCTTCTAGATCCAGTCCAAGGCTCTCTCTGTGCGTCGGGTATCAAATTCTACGTCGGGGCCTTCAACTCAAGCTCAACTCAGGGTGCTCCTAGATTAGTTCGCACCTTGCATTTGACTTCCTTGTCGCGGAGTTTTGGTCGGTGAGCCGCGCGCTGGTTCATTTACTTAAATCGACATTCCTCGGCACCACCGCGACATATACAATTGAGAGCACATTCGACAGTCGGATTGAATCGCTGTTCGCCACCGCCTAGGCGCGACTACCGTCATAATTGGGTAGTAAGTTGGATCCGGAGCACAGACGAGTGTAGGCGCACCTCGGACGTGGCACTATGTCGGTCCAGATTTAGGACAAAAGAAGCATGTGAGTCAACTTGAACTTGAACTTCTCACCCTGTCAACGCTCAGGATCAGCGCTCAGCGAGTCATGTAGCTTGCCAAAACGCTTTGACAGATAGCCCTGACGAGACTCGAACTCGTATCCTCCGCCTCCCTGCTTCAGAAAAAGCATGGCGGTGTCGTACCCTTTAGACCACAGGACTCGATGAAGGAGAATTGAACGGCGGCAAACTCGTATCGGCGGGATGATGAGCTCTGGCTGATCATAACATTCCAGCTGCAGGGCGCGCGCAAATTAAGGTGAAAGTGTAGCGCAAGTACATATCGCTCGATTCTCTGCGACAAGAGTTTCCGTTGAAAGTCCCAACACGATGACGGATCATATAGGAACTGACGGGATCTTATCGGACCTCTTTGACACCGCTTCCAGCTTCGGTAGCGACCACGAGTTAATTGGAGTCTCAATTTCCCTTGGAGAAGAATACAGTGCCTGGTGTCGAAACAAGCAATCATTTAAACCGATCTAATTGAACTTGTTTCCTGACTCAAGTTGGCGCTAAAGGCACAAATTAAAAGCACTCGACTCCCGGGCATTTTCTTGGACCGAATTCTGCGCTACATTTGTTTCCAATACTGAAGTGGAAAACGAGGTAATCTTCGCGGCTCCGCACCCAGAGCGTCGCAGGATGACTTCGGAGATTTTCTTGTCCGACCCGGCCCGTCCCGCTCTCCGGTGTTTTCGCCGTGACTGTCACTCTGGTGATTGCGACCAACGAGCTTTCCCTAGCAACGCTCTATGGCTCACGCTCGGCTCCTTCAATGCTATGCTAACAGTGAACCCAATGTGCCCACTTGACCCATTGCACACGGCCATGCATTGAGCACGATCCATGTCGACTTCAAACGGCGCAATCAGCAATAGCGGGCAGGTCCTACCGCAAACCACCTCAAGTCAAAACCTCGGAGACCGTCCTCCGTTCCTCAACTCCACTCTCCGCATGTTCATAGAGGAATGGAGCAAGTCTTTGCTTTCTTCGATGTTGAACGCCGCGTAAACTGTTGTTTCCGGTACGCCATCGGTTTGCGGCTGCTGTACCTGGGAGGGAGGAGCCGCGGATAGGACTTTGTTCGCCGCGAACGTCGAGATACAAAATGGCTTCGAGTCGACTAGACGAGTCCCACTCATGGCTGAACACAGCGGACACAACATTCATCGCGGTGGAGCGTGCTCGAACTGCAGGTGTGTCTGTTGTTTCGCCATCTTTTTCTCCAGCTTACTCGTGAACCAGACGCAGAAAGATTGTATGCGACCTTCGATTTTGCTGATGCAGTCTTTGTCTAACACCCTGCTCAGAGATGCGATGGCGCTCGACCGCTCTGCGGGCAATGCCACAATCGACCACCGCGCTCTGGACATCCGTGTCAATACGAACAGGAGACGCATCCGACGCATCAGACCTCCGCGGAGATGCAGAGAACTATCGGCCGCTTGCGAACAAGAATAGAAGAGCTGGAGCGATCGACTGGACCTTCGTCCCAAGACATACTATTGCATCAGCCTTATGGATCTTCTGCGGGACCCGTTCCTTCCGTACCTGTTCGTCCTTGACCTTTGTGCCCAGATGGGTGGAGGCTTACATGCGATTCAGGAACCACCGCCGAATATCCGAAACTCACTGTATGTCCGTTGAAAACTGACTCGATCTACCACTTTAAACTTTTGCAGAATCACGACTTTCCTCAATAAATTCGCCAGCAGCGCCTATTTCTTCCTGGACGCACATCACTTCTCCCAAGGGGCGCATCATCCTCCCGGCCACCCACAACGCCCATCGGGTACACTTCTTAGCAGTGCCTATCTCTGGGCATCGGTGCTGACCACGACAGACGGCGCGGACACAGACACCTTCCTCCTCGCGACCTTGGAACAGCTTCCAGCAGCCATCAACCGCCTATCTTCGACTTCCCCAGGCTCCCAATCGCGCCTGCTCCTCGAAACGATTCAAGCCGAGGTACTCCTCTCGTTTTACTATCTCCACGAAGGGCTTCCGGTGCAAGGCCGGTATCACGCCGGTGCGGCAGCCTCGTTGGCAATCGGGGCTGGTTTCAATCGACTCGGTGCTGCTCATCCTCATCAACCCGCTGCCGGCCCACCTTTCATTTTCGCATCTGGGCCGGATCCACACCATGAGGGCGCGAGCATCGCAGCCTTCTGGGCGACAGTCATCATCAACAATGTTTGGGCTGCCGCGCAAGGGGGACCTGCCCCGATTTCGTCTTATGGCACGGATGTGGATGCACCGTGGCCTGGCGGTCAAAGGGTGCGTCATTTATCTGCATTTTTCATCGTCAGTTAACGAGGAGAAACAGACTGGGTCTACGATAAAGCGATTCCTCAATGGTCAGGACGTCGATGGGTATACGCCCATTGCGCTACTTGCGAAAGCGTCGACGTTGGTCGAGCGCATTGCAGCGCTCACTAGTGCGGGTGGTATGGACTTTTGATTGCTCAGGCTTATAGTTCCTGCTCATCGCTCAACAGGCCAACTCGACATTCCTACGTACAACACGCTCGACCAGCGCCTGCATACTTTCCAAGCGCTGCTTCCCCACCCCCAGGGATCCGAAGAGAATATCCGCCTCGCACATCTGCTCACGGACCTCGCAATCATTCGGCTTCACCTGCCTCAACGTGGGGCCCGGCAAAAGGTGCTCGCAGCGGCGGATCGGATCGTTTTGCTCGTGAGGGAGATTCGGGAGACGACCGTGGACCCTGTCCTTGGGGTGAGTTTACTGGTTTCAGACTTTCAGTGCGATGCGTACTGACACCAATTTGAATCACAAGTCCGTCTGCTCTGCAGCCCACTCGGCATATGTTTCCGAAATGGGCTCCCTGCGAGCCGGTCCACCGACATTGGCTCAGCAGTACCGTGCTATCGAGCAGCGTTTGGATGGTCTGGTTCATGCGATGACGCGGCTGGCGGACGGGAGTCCTGTTATGCGTGTGTTCCTTTTGCTTTGTCGGCGACGTCCGAGTCTGACGCCCGACTAGGTCAATGTCTCGCCTCGATTGTGTCGCAAGGTCCCCCAGGAGGCTCTGCTGGACGTGGAGGGTATCGCTGATTGTTCTTTCCGTTCTATACATGAATTCCGTCCAGATGCATACATACACTACTCAGGATACATACACTACTCAGTGCTCACACCATACACTACGCAGGATACACATGTACTACTCAGCGCTCACACTAATACACGTCGTCATTAACTAACCATTCGTGAGAGTAGACTTATCGTCTGCCTCTGCCTCTGCCTCTGCCTCGTATACCCAGCCCTCGTTCACTGTTTGTCGTTGACACGGAAGCCGCAGCCGCAGCGCTCCTCGTTACGACTCCAATGACATCTTCGAAGTCACTGCGACGCCCAGCTCCGTCTTTACCGCTCGTCCAAGTAGGCACGGTGAATCCGCGCATTGCCGACGCACGGGAAGAGTTGGCTCTGACCCTCGCACGGAGCGAATCGAGGTCGACAGTTGGTGAGGTCACGGGCGAAGAGCCGGATTCGGAGCGGGAGTCTTCATCTTCGTCCCATTCGTCTACTTCTCCAGCCGTCTCGACCACTTCGCTGATCGGGGGGTACGCAGATTCAGAGCGACCCGCTCGTTGTGGGGAAGATGTGGGGGTCGAATATGCCTGCTTCCGTCGCCTCGGCGTGGATACAGCAATCGGCTGCACAGACGGCGCAGAGCCCCTTCGCAAATCTCTTTCCTGTTCTTCCTCCGAGTCGTCGCTTTCGTCCTGGAAGCGTGGACGTTTGGTTCCTCGGGGACTCGAGCTTGTTCGCGGGGACGACTGCGCGAATGCTGAAAGTGGGGAAGTTGGGCATATCACAGTGGGTGATGTGGGTGGAGGTCCAGGAGGCGGAGGCCTCAGAGATGTGGATGGACGTTCTGGGGATGGGGAGGTTGCCTGGGAGGCGGTATGCCAATCCCAGCGCTGTTGCCAGGGACCCTGAGAGATGGGGACAGGTGTCTGTGGAGGGACCGTGGGCGACGGTGTGACGGTGGAAGTGCTCGTGCTGAGCAACGGTGGGGCTGCGGGCGACGAAGAGGAATTGAAGATCTCAGGGTTCGACGCCGCTAGGTCCTCTTGACGTACGTCGTCTTGCCTTTCCTCGATGGGACGATATCCAATGTGAAGATGGCGAGGGTTGGATGAGCCAGAACGGGCGCGCAGTAGGATGATAGGAGGACTAGTCGCTGAAGTCCGTCGCTGCGGGACTGGATTCACGGGGGCCTCAGCATCGACGGCTTCTTCGTCTTCCTTGCCCAGTCTCTTGACAGGAAGGAGCGGAACCGATTGACGACGTGGTGGACGTTCCGGTCTTGTATTAACCTGAAGGTTCTCCAATATTGCTCGTCTGTGAACGCGAACGCGTCAGTTCAACGAAGGCAGTGTGGCAACGACGACCCACCTCGACTGCTCAACCTCTTTCGACCCGGTGGGTAGATGCTGCACCACATCCTGAAGGAACAATGTTACATTGGTCTGATGGCCTTTCTTTGCGGCGTTGGCGATGTGCCGCTTCGCGCGTGTACCGAGAGTGAGCATCCAGTCCAGCAGGAGACACTCTTCGACGTGGCCGGGGTCGACATTAGGGAAGAGTGCTGGGAGCGTCGAGGATGGATTCATGAGATGAGGGAAGCAAGCAAGCACAAGGCGAGCGTGCCACTCACCAACCCCATCCAAATCCCATTGTTTCCTCGTCCAAGGTAAGATGCGTCACAGTGTGACTATGACTCGGATTCAGGCGGAAAGGCCTCCATGCTAAAGAGCCAAGATCCCATGTACACTGTAACCCTGTATGTTCTGCAACACCACACAAACATCCTCCGCCAAAACTACTACCAATACGCATCATTCTCCTCATCGAAAAAAGCGCCTTCCCACATCTGCTTGAGCCTCTCTGATGGGTACGCATTGTACCACGGCAGCGGCGGGTATATGAACGAAATATCCAGCTGTTGCGCTTCTATCAACGGACCGACGATTGGGTGGTCGAATAAACCAGACGAATCGGAAGAACGCGGGCGTAAAAACTCGAAATGTGCCTTCTTGAAGACTGGCTGGTGCGAGGATGAGACGGTGCGTGCGAGTACGAATCGGTGTATGGCGTCGTCCGTAAGCGTTTGCACATTGGCTAT